TGCCAACTTGGGCCAGTGAAGCAGCATCCTCCACAACTAGACTGAAGAACAAAACGACAGCAACTTGTCTGTTCCCCTTCCCCCAATTCCCCAGCGCTGTTCCCATCCCCTAGTTCCCCAATAAAAATCTTAAAAAAAAAAAAATTGTTTGGTAAATGAAAGAGAGATATTTAATTTTTTTAACTGAAGAAAAATGGTAGCACCTTAGCCATGTAAGCTCTCTTTATTGTATTGTTTAAATTCAATGTAGGATTTTAAAATGGTGTCCAGTATAGATAGGTGGAGACAGTAAAAGAAATGTGTACCCTCCAGCTGGCATGGTTTCACTCAGGTTTGTTTTTTATGTTCCTCTACTAAACTGCCAAGAAAGAAGAATTCAGAGAACTTAAATGAATAAGTATAACTGAATGGTGTCAAGCTCATACTGACCTGAGTCTCAAGGAAGCAGCGTTAGTGTTCTCACTAAGAGGGTCAAAAGAGAAATGAAAACTTAGGGGAAGTGAAGAGGATTTGGAGAGAATTCAGATAAAACATTAAATAGTTTTAGATACATAACAGATTTTCTTTAGAACCAGCTAAGGTGCATTTCTCAACTCATTTCTCCTACAGCAACAGGAAAAACCTGGAGTCATGTGTAAGCCCATTTAATTTTAGAGCCTAAGAGAATGGGAAGTTGTATTAATTTGTTATTTTAAGGTTTCAGTCAGAAACAAAGATAATTTGGCCTTCCCGATGTATATGTATACGTTAATTTTGCCTTTGGACGTAGTAGCATCTCTTGATTTTTACCTTATGGGAGAGTATAATATGTTGTTTCTTTAGAAGCTAGTAGCTGCACATCTGACCGCCAGCTCCTCCCAGGGCTGTATGCTGATGGCAGGGGAACAAATGAGTCAGTAGGAGAGACACCTTTTATTAACCCAGCTCATCTCATGTAGTACCTATTAATACTGATGATTGCCTTCTGCAGTACCAATTTACATATCTGTAGCCACCAAATCTTGGGGGCTTAAGGTAAAATCAGAAAATTATTTGAAGGCATGAAATTGTTGCTTCTCTGTGTAAGTTTTTAATTGATGAAAAAGGCCATCTTGTGACAATGTGCAGTAACCCAAAAAGACCTATTGGCATGTGTCTCTTTAAACTGAGACACTGCCTGTTAAACAGAAATGATTTATTTTAAAACCTATTTGAGATCTTACTTTGTCATATTTTAAAAATGAGACATCAGTAAGAAAAACGGCTGAAATTTTTTTTTTTTTTTTACTGTTCTGTGCTTCAAGGGTTGGTGATATCACTAGCACTTAAGCCAGTGCAAGGACTGCACCTCCCTATACAGTGCAGGGATTAGTATTATCATCAGTTTCTGCAAGAGAAATACAAAACTTTTGAGTGCCTGAACTCAGGTCCTGGCAGGAAAAGAATCTTTTGATTTTATTTATTTATTTATTTATTCATTTAAAAAAAAAGATTTTTATTGGGGAATTGGGGGGACGGGAACAGCGCTGGGGAATTGGAGGAAGGGGAACAGACAAGTTGCTGTCCTTTTGTTCTTCAGTCTAGTTGTGGAGGACGTTGCTTCACTGGCCCAAGT